TTGGGTTTGTTATATTCACTTAAGCGCACTTGGGAAAGGCATGAACCCACCATTTCTCCGACCAGCTATGGGGTACTTAGTAATATTTGTATCACTAAAAAAAAAAAAAGAATTTCTACAATTTAAAAATATTTTCTAAAGCGAGTGTCGTCCAGTGTTCCATCCTTGGCCCTACTGTGTTTTTAATTTTCATTAATGACCTTCCCGTTAACATCAGATCTCAACTTGGTATTTACATAGATGACACTGATGACACATTTACTCCTGGCTCGATAATAAGGCTGATCAGTCCGGCAAGGTCAAAATGGCAGCCGATGTGCAAAACGACCTCAAGTCCATCGTTAACTAGGGCGAAAGATGGCTAGTTAATTTTAACACCTCCAAAAGTAAACTTCTTTCCATTAATCCTCTGAGTGATCCCACTCTGGCTTCTATCAGTATGGCTGATGCTAACCCCCTGGAAAGTGGCTCGTTGCGTCTTCTTGGGCTCACGTTCTCGGCTGACATGAAGTGAAAAGACTCTAATGAATCCGTTGCTTTCAGCTGCTAAGAACGTCGGTTCACTGTGTCGTGAGAGACAATTTTTCTCTCCAGAATCTATTGTACATATCTATAAGTCCACCATGCTTAGAATATTTCTGCCCAGAAATGGTCCGAAAAAAAACACAGTTGGATAGCGAGCAGGTGACCAGCCAAGATTTTTTGCTATACGTCCTAAAAATGATTTGTCAGAACATAATCTACAGAGGAATGGTCATATTTTATATATTTTATTTGACTCTATTATTTTCAATTGGCTATTTTCAATTGCACCTTCTCAGGCTAACGTTCTCAGATGACATGAAGTGGAAACACTATATTGAATCCATTGCCAGGCTAGCTGCTAAGAAATTCAGTTCACTGTGCCGTGCGAGACAATCTTTCTCTCCAAAATCTATCTTAGATATCTATAAGTCTGCCATTCGTCCATGCTTAGGATATTGCTGCCACAGCTTCCGGTGTCCCTTATATTTACCTTGACTTCCTTGATAAAATCCAAAGACTCAGCAATATTGTCTGTCCTGATCTAGCGGCTCGGCTTCAGTCACTTTCCCACCGCTATGAGGTTACTTCACTGTGCCTTTTCTATAAATACTTTGCTATGGCCGTCCTGGGTATGACGATAAACAACATCTGCGTCCTGGGTAAAACGATAAACTCCCTCAGACAACAAAGGCTTTGATCGGAAGGTCTTGAGAAGGATGGAACTACCTCAAATGCTGGTGTTCCCAGGTTCACCCTGACCCAGGGTGGTAGCACCTGTCAGGGTTCCAGCTATGGGCAAACAGTTAATCAAAAAAAATGGGGGCCCAAACACTATGAAAATATAAAACTAGATTTTAATACCAGCAATACATTTTTGGGAAAATATTACGAACAATAGAATTCTGGAAAAAAATATTACCAGCAATAATTTTTTGAAAAGAATAAAATATTAATACATATTTTATTCATACGAGACTATCCTAAAAAATCTTGTCGGCATTAAATAACCCATTGAAGTTGGTATGCCGTAAAACAGAACAAACCAAAAAACTCCTTCCTATAGTACCTAGATTTTTTTCATTTAAGCGCAGTACTAGACTGGCGTTGAGGTCTCATCAATTTGCAGTTGAGCTGGCTAGATATCTACTGTCCACCTGATTACTCTTTCCTCTTTGCACTCATTATTAATGTTTCTGTTCTAAATTCTTCCACACCCAGTAAGCCTTTGTGTCTTAGTGGTTTTATTTTCAGATAACTGTCAGGGGTTGATAAACTGTAAAAAATGAATCACTCTGATGTACATGCTAGCAATCACATGTTGACTTCAATGATTCATGAATGATTCTGTTAAGACAAGAAATAAATCTATTCTATTTAAATTTCTATTTAAAGATCTATTTAAAGTAACTATTTTATTTAATGTTCAGTACTAAATGTCAATATAAATTAAATATCCTAGCCAGGACGCGAGGATGTTCAATTCCTACAAATACGATATTCATTCTTTAAATGATTTCAGAAAGGGCAATACAAATGCAAAAGGATGTATACCTATGTTTTATAGAAATTGTGCACAGAGGAATGTGCACGTGGCCAAGTGGTTAGAACGTTTGCATTCTGACAATATAGACCCGGGTTCGAATCTTACTATGATCGATTTGTCAGGAAGAAGACTTCCTGATGTTATCGGTCTGGAGGGGGTCGATCCCAGCGTGCGGCACGATTGGAAATGCCTGAAAACCATACCACGGGTTGACCCAAGCCTTGTGAGTGAAATTGGGTAGATGGAACCCTTGAGTGCCGTTGATAGCTGTGCTAGCACGAAGTCCAAAGTCATCGTGGCCGAGGGCTTGAGCGTGCTGGACTTTTTCAGATTGTTGATCACGCTACATAAGACACTCAGAAACTGTAACTAAGGTCTGCTCAGCATTGTTAGACATTTTGACGGTCGAGTATAGAATCCAGAGGTTGGCAGTGAATATTTCGGAGACAGTAGGAAAGCGTAGTGCAGGTTCGCAGTGGATATCGCAGCAAGGTAGCAGAGCGTAGTTCTTCCGTCTGTCCTGTTCGCCGGACAAGTTGCCTCTGATCATTCCGATATTATACACGACGGATACAGTGTTGTGCGGCTTCTGATTGGTCCACCTTCTATTTGTAGACTATAAAGGGAATTAAGTCATTTTGACTCGCTCACTAGTTGCATAGTATATTTACCCCAGCCTTTACCCCTCCCCTTCATCGGCCACGTGCCACAATTGTATTTCAAATATACAATAAATCGCCTAGTTACATAGTATATACACAAACTGTAACAAGCATAGTTGCAGTATAAACCACAGGTGGTCTCTGTGGATGTTGAATAAACACAAATGCGCCTGAGCAAACGTCTGCAATAGGGATTGGCTAATCGCTCTAGGATACGAGTGGCCAGCTATACATAAATAGAAATCGTGGAGAGCCATTATCACCCACGTCATAAAGGGACAGGGAACATAGAAGAAGAAGAACCTGCCGTGTCTCTTCATGATCAAATATAATAAAAATTCGTTGCATTAGTTTATTCCTGTCATCTAAAATGATGGTATATAATGTTCAAAAAGTAAGCCATCGTGAGTGCCATTGCCAGTGCAAGGATAAATAAATATAGCTACCATTTTTGTACTGGCAACATCAGAAGTTACAGAAAATCAAGACAAAAAATACGTATATTGCATTTCGTTCATTATATATATGGATTCATATTTTTATTAAAAGATTTTATTAGTATTTCAAGAGTTTTATTCAGATTTGTTTCTTCTCTTTTTATATGTCGAGTTATTTCAAGGTGTGGGCGATCATGGCCCTCCACAACTTCCTATCCTTCGTAGCTCTCAGTAATGTTTGTCTCCTTATTATCCCTTCCAATCCCTGTTCTTCCTTCCATTTGCATAAGGTTGTTAGGTAGATTACTTGCTGTTTCCCTCCACCCTTCTTTCCTTCGTGTGTGTCAAATTCTCTAAACCTACTTTTCTCATTATGTATCTTAGAGATTTCAACTGTCTCTTTTTTATGACAAGTGTCATTTTCGTTTCCATTTTTCTTAATTCTTCTTCGTTGTTCACATGTTCTGTCCATGATATTCTCGGCGGCAGCCTTCTATAGAACCTCGTCTCTGTTGCTTCCAGTTTTTACTTTTGATCTCTGAGAAAATTCTCCTACAATCACTGCCATATATTCACCGGGGGGGGGAAGTGATATTGCAAAACATTTCAATACTTGCAAAAGGATGTATATCTGTTTTATAGAAATTGTGGAGAGCCATGACTGCCCACATCCTGAAAGGATACGACACAAAGAAGTAGAAGAAGCCAGAACTCTAACTTCTTTTTTCTTTTATGTGTTCTGTCTCTTCAAGATGTGAGTGAACATGAGTCTCCACATCTTCCTATTCTTTGTAAGTTTGTCCCATTACTATCCCTTCCAGTCATCTATTTGCATAAGCTTGTTTGCCTTCATTATGACCTGTTAAATTTTCCAAGCCCTCGTTCTTCATTACGTGTCCTAGAAATTGGTGGCCCAGTTAAAACACATTTCACCTTAGTGCTTATTCAAAAATACTAGTCTCATTTTTATGCTGAAAAATTAAAAAATTCAAAGACATATAATCAGTTATGTTATAATTCGTCCCTTTTTATTTTCAAGGACATTCTATGCATTATTAGATTCTCTTCACAAGTGATGATTCTGCAGCTTCCATCTTGAAAATTTAGAAATTATTGGCACTTCCTCATTCTGATTATTTTTTCTTGAAAACTCATATCTGCTTAGTTTCTATTTTTCTTTTCTTTTTCTTTTCTTTTCTTTTTCTTTTCTTTTTTTTTTCTTTTTTTTTTTTTGTTAAGCATTTCACTCCAAATAAGGCAGGAGTGCCACTAGTATGCAAGGGGTTATGGAGAGTGAGAGCAAGACTAAAGAAGATGTTTGAAGAAAGGATATAGAGAAGGACAGGGATCAGGATCAAGACATCAGAAGACATTGATTGACATTACATTTGAATATTTGAAGATTATAGCTATCAAGGTAGCAAGTAAGAGGAAAGGAGTTCCACTGTTGGCACTTGCTCATTCTGATTATTTTTCTTAAAACTTCTTCGTTGTTCACATGTTCTGTTCATGATATTCTCGACAATCTTCCATAGAACCTCATCTCTGTTGCTTCCAGCTTCTACTTTTGATCTCTGAGAAAATTGTCCTGCAATCACTACCATATATTGGGGCTCTTTTTTTTCTAATACCATTTTCATGTCTCTTAATACTTAGCTTAGATTTTGGAAAGCATTTTTAGCTATTCCAATGTACCTACGGACTTCTGTGTAAAACTTTTTGTCTGTTATAATTAAATGTCCGCACTTGGTTGGTTCTCCATTTCGTAGCTCTCATCTTGGACTCTTCCTCTTTCTAATGACAATAGATTCTTACAAATAAGCTTCTTCTAGCTTACGACCATATCACACTTAAACACCGATTCACGGCAGGTCAGCGAAGTTAAGCAATGTCGAGCCTGGCCAGTACCAAGATGGGTGACCGCTTAGGAATAACAGGTGCTGTAAGCTTCGGTGTGCGCCGAGTGTAATGGATAATGGTCAATCAAAATAGGAGTAAATAGGTTCGCCTTCGCCCCGTTCACACTTTTGAACAGGAGGGGAGGTTTATCCCTCGTTTACGATTGGTTTCCCCGTTCTTTCTAATGCATTTTCATTCGCTTTCACACCCAGTATACCCTTGCGTCTTAGAGGCATTATCACCTTGCTCGGTGTGAAGTGATTAAAAACAAATTAAATTTCTGCACTTGATTGTATGAACCTCAAAGGGTTGTTTAATGACAATATATGTATATATATATATATAGATAAATATTAGTCATCCACAGACAAACTGTTTCACTGTATCACAGCTAATTAGTGTACCTATACATCCGATTGCTTCAAGCCAGGATCGAAACCCGACCGATCTTGCATCAGTCAGAGATTCTATCCCCAACCTATTGTCGCACGGCAGTGAGTAAGGAACTTTTTAACGTTTTTACCATACGAAAGACCTCAGTGGCTAGGAGAGCTCGATCCTAGTAGAAGAGCATTGCATTAGCAGCAGCAGCCACTGTTTATAAAATCACCTCTTCCTCTCCGATATATATATATATATATATATATATATATATATATATATATATATATATATGAATAAAAATATTCATTTTAACAAAATCCCTTTGTAACATCTTTGCAAAAGAGGGCTTCTTTCGAGAGACAATTACCGTATTTGACGGTATATACGAGACACCTTTGTATAAGACGCACCACAATTTCAGCGGGGTCAATCAAGAAAAAATTAATAATTAGTAAAATTAGTAAACCTACATATGGCATATAAGAGGTAGGGGAATTTTAAAAGATATTTTTAGTAAAAAAAGTGCGCCTTATATTCCGTCAAATACGCTACATTACTGGTATTATTCTTTTATCCAATAAAGAATTTCGGCCAATATTTATTCTCCACATATCCGGTTTCCTAGTTTTATTTCTGTAAAAAAGATTGTCAATATTCCGGCTTCTTAGTTATATTTTTTTAAATTTAAAAAAACTTTGTTTTATCCTTACTCTCTCCTGTTTTATATTTTCTTGTAGAGGCCGACCTCTTTTAGAAATGATAGTATATCAACCACATTTACCTTCACGAACAGCTCAAATATGCTATCACTATCTGTCTATATTTCTCAGATGAGGTATTATGTACACTATTTACATTATTCGGACTACTGCCCTCATCTTTTTTCGCCATATTTATTACAACGTTTCGACCCTTTAGTATCTGTCTATATTTCAGCCACTTTTACATTATTCGGACTATCTGTCTTTGTCGCCATATTTCTTTTGAGATGAGGTATTTTCTCATGTACACTATTTACATTATTCGGACTACTGCCCTCATCTTTTTTCGCCATATTTATTACAACGTTTCGACCCTTTAGTATCTGTCTATATTTCTCAGATGAGGTATTATGTACACTATTTACATTATTCGGACTACTATCCTCATCTTTGTCGCCATATTTATTACAACGTTTCGGCCCTTTAGTATCTGTCTATATTTCTCAGATGAGGTATTATGTACACTATTTACATTATTCGGACTACTATCCTCATCTTTGTCGCCATATTTATTACAACGTTTCGGCGCTTTAGTATCTGTCTATATTTCTCAGATGAGGTATTATGTACACTATTTACATTATTCGGACTATTGTCCTCATCTTTGTTGCCATATTTATTACAACGTTGTACGCCCCGGCCTTCTTCAGGTTCTTCTCAGGGACACATGGCAAATTTTTTTCATCGTTTCTTACCCGTTCGAAATTGTGGTAAAAAAATCTTGGTTTGTTTACGTCATCGGGTTGGCACAATAATTACACGTACTTTTTTCACGCTTTTTCCAGTGAAAACGGATTGATTTCGAAATTCTTGCAAAAATCAAATAATTTCGAAATTTAATGAAACTTTCTGGACTTATTCACAAATGAATGAAATTGTTTTGGAAATTTTTTGTTTTAGAAAATTTTGATAAAAACTATATTTTTTTTACATATGTTTCCTCCCACTTTCTTAATTTCATGAAATTTATCGAAAAACACTCTCACTGTTTTTAAAGATTATCAATTTCTCATCGCATGTTATGACTCGTTGCAAAAATTGTTTTATCTCAGTTACTCATATAGTAAGATTACTCAACATTGTTGCAATGTAATCATTTTTATTGGGCTTATTGAGTGACAATATATTGAAAGAAAAATTATCTGGTCAGGAGTCAGGAATAAGTCAAAATTACTTTATATACGAAGGAGATTACTTCGTTAGATGACTGGATGAGCAACCAACCAAAACATGCGTCATTTCATGTGAAAAGCTAAGAGATTCGAAAAAAGTCCCAACGAGAACAATTGTGCACAACTCAATTCAGTCTAATTCAACCCTTTTCCCCCTCCATCTATCCTCTCTCTCTCTCTCTCTCTCTCTCTCTCTCTCTCTCTCTCACACACACACACACACACATAGATAGATAGATAGATAGATAGATAGATAGATAGATATACGTATTTCCCTCACGGGTAGCACGACTCAGAGTTTCATGCACAGCGCAATCTTCAGGTGCTGAGTTAAGGCTCTAAGCGGATGGCAGAAATAGGATAACAAAGAAATGTGGTAAAGGAGCTGGTATTACTTAGAGCAACAAAGCATAGGAAGTTGTAGAGAGCCATGACTGCCCAAGTCATGAAAGAATATGGACGATAAGGGGAAAAGAAGAAAGGATTTGATTAATTCTTCAAAGTTTGTTTTTAATAATTTATGGCGTTACTCTCAAAATTGTCTATAATTTTCATTCATATTCTTCTCCCGTATTCTATACTGAAACATGTCTGTTAATAAAAATAGTAGTACATAGTGACTTTCCAAACACCCTGTACCTTGTCTTGAAGTATCTACAGTTGCCTCTCTGTGTCAACCATCAGCTCTGTGTATCATATGTTACGATTGGGAAACCTTGACATGCTGTAATGGTTTACAAAATTGTTTCGCTACAAGAGTTACAACTGAGTAGTGAGTTCGATCCTCACTGGGTGCCTCATACTTTCGGTTTTGTAAAATCACCTGCGGTTGTTGCGATTGTGTCCACCATTTACTCTAATTCTCTTGGGGTGGGGGTCTCATTTCTTCTTTCATGTGCCGAGTCCCTTCAGGACGTTGGCGATCATGGCTCTATACAATTTACCGTATATATATGAAATGACGCATGTTTTGGCTGGTTGTCGATCAGGTCGTCTAAAGAAGTAATCTCTTTAGTATATAAAATTATATATGTAATTGTGACTTATTCCAGACACTTTTTTTTCCAGATATTTTTCTTTCAATATATTGTTACTCATAAGCTCTTAATAAATTTTGTCTCTCTTAACCCCTAAGTAGGTTAAGTCTTGTCTTCCACTGGCCTTTTTACTCTCAAATTCTCCAAGCCCACTTTCCTCATCATGTGCCCTGGAAATTTCAAATAAAAAGCTTTTTTTGTTTCCATTTTCTTTAAAACTTCGTCGTTGCTTACATGTCTAGTCCATTGTATTCTCAACATCCTTCTGTAGAACCACATTTCTGTTGCTTCAAGTCGCTTCTTCATCTTTGAGAAGATTGACCTGCATTCACTGTCATATAGGAGGACTGAAATTACATAGGATTTCAGTACTCTTTTATTTGTTTCTAACGAAGTTTTCCTGTTTCTTGGTACTTTGCTTAGCTTTTGGAAGACATCTTTCACCATCCCAGTGCGCCGTCAGGTTTCAGTGTGGCTCTTTCTGTCCTGTTAAAATACTTTCAAGATATATAAATTGTTATACTTGTTTGATTTTGGTATCTCCAAATTGTAATTTACATGTTGGACTGTTTCTTTTAACAACCATGCATTCTGTCTTCTTTCAATTGATGCATAGTCCTTTCTTCTGCCTTTCCTTCATTGCCTTCAGTAAGAGTTTTTGTAGTTTCCTTTCTGTGTCTGATATCAACACTGTGTCATATGCATATCTAATGTTGTTAATTTTGTGGCTATCGATAATGAATCCTGGGGGGAGGGGCTTCTAATTTTCTCGGAATAGCCTCAATGTTTAAGTTGAATAATGTCGGTGCAAAGACACATACTTGTCTTACACTTCTCTCTATTTTTGTATATTTACTGAATTCAATTTCTATCCCGATGCGGGCGGTTTATCCCAAGTAAACAGTCTGGTTTGTTTTCATATCTTTCCCGAAGAAATCAAGATAGAAGCAAAAAGAAATAACGTTTCTTAAGAATTCTTTTACTCATTTCATCTCATACAAGAAAGTAATGCCATTAAGACACATCTTATGAAAATAAATAAGAAAAAAGAGAAAGATTATTTGGGAGCGAGAACAATAGAAGATTAATCAAGAAGACAGTAGATAACGATTGACATTGCATTTACACACGGGCTTACTGAATGTGAAAGAATAAGAGAAACATTATTAAAGAGAGAGAGATAACACTAGAAGAGTAATCAAGAAAACGGAAGATAACGATTGGTATTATATTTAAATATTCGAAATTGTCTGGAAAACATTGAACTGGAAGAGAGTTCCACAAGCGAGAAATGCGAGAAAAGAAACTCTTAGCATAGAACTTACGGTTGCTTCAAGCAAATCCCTTGTGAATTGATGAGATCTTTGCCGCCAATCTAGTACTGCGATTAAATTCATAAAGTCTAAGTACCACAGAGGAGAGTTCATTAAAATTATATGCTAAGGATATCATGGACCAAGCGTGTGAGCAACGATGAGACTCATGGAGAGGATGCAGACATGGCGGAGGCTTATAATTAACATAAGGAAGAGGAAGGAGGGCCTGGAAATCTGATACTCACGGATCGACAGGAAAAAGAGACAAAGGAAAACAACGCATTACATAGCTAGCGAGCTTAAGCAAGTAGTTTTAACAGAAAGTGGTCAGGGGAGGTATCAAGGGGAAGGAACTTGCTGAGAGCTGCAACGAATAGA